ACATTATTCAATGGCTTTCTCCGTCTTGGGGGATGAATTCGAAACATTAGCACAGAGCATTAGTTCTTCATGATCAAGCTTCTAACCATTGTGACTGTCACCTACCCACTACTTGGTCTCCATCCAGGGTGCCTGATGCTGTCTTACTGGTAGGTGTATGACAGTTTTACCCAGTCAGTTGTATAAGCTTGGAGTCTCTGCCGCACGAGAGGGCCCAGCACTTGGTTCAAGGCTCTGCTATGACCATCTTGATATGTTTAACTTTTCCCCCAGTGGGACTCCATTGCAGGAATTTGCACATGCAAATCAGTCACTCTATCATTGAGACACATTCTCAGCTCAACAGTTTTAATCATTCGTGAATAGCATGTCCCATGATTTTTTTTTTTTTTTTTTTTTTGGTTAGAAGTGGTGCGGGAGACTTATCTGTATTCTGCCAATCATATTTTAATAAAACACTGATTGGCCAGGCAGGCAGTATAGGTGGGAAAGCCAGACAGGAAGTAGAGGTGGAGCAAAGAGACTGGGAGTATTCTGGAAAGCAGGAAGCTCCCTCGCCAGTTCTGCCCAGACCACCGGAGAGGAAAAATGTAAACTGCCCCACTGGAAAAGGTACTGAGCCGTGTGGCTAACGTAGATAAGGATAATGGGGTAACACAAGTTATAAGAGCTAATAAGTAGCCTGACCTAATGGGCTAATCAGCTTTATAACTTATAGAGATCTCTGTGTGATTGATTTTCCTTGGGAGTTGTCGGCTGCGGGGTACCGGGCGGGACAGAAACCCCAACAAGCCAGCCCTGATGTTACATAGAAGACCACAAATGGCATAGGCAGTCTCTTATAGCTACCCAGACATGTTCTCCTTGAATGAAGCTGCCACAAACTTCACTTATATACCTTTCATATGGTGGGCAGCACATGGACTAGGGTCAGTAGGAGGTTGCTAAGGCACAATGACAATGGAACAAGAGAATTTAAGTGAAAATGTGCTGGGGTCCTTGGACTTGAATTCAGCTCTGCTAGATTTTAGCTCTAGCCAAGGCTGTCTCATCGGCTGTGGTGGGGATGATGCCTTTTCTACTTACAGCTTGAGAGAATGGACAGAGACAGCATAAAAAAAATGTGCAAACGGGGACACACAGTCAAGAATCTTCATCATATCCCTACTGTCTTACGTAGTTTCTTTCCGGTCACACCAGCTAACCCTCGTTTCTGAGAGGAAGTGTTAGGATTTTTAGAGCGGCTCCTTACAGTTCAGACTCCAGCATAAGTGGAGAGTGATCCAATAATGGGCTTACGACACCCTTATTCAGGAACTGTGTGGGTTTTGCCCAAATGGTTGTGATCGGCTGTTCATATCATGTGTGAGACCATCTCAGCTTCTATAGAAGGTAGAAATTATAGGTCTTCTGAAGCTTAAGTTATAAAAACATTTCAAAATGGAAGCATCTCTGCAATGGGTCTTTTTCTGTCCTGCTAGCCACTCCCGAATAATGACATGGAGGCTTTTCATTTTTTATGAAAGCGAGGCCTTAGCTTAGGCTTGTTTCTAGCCAGCTGTTATAAATTAACAGCTTTAACCCATTTCTAGTCATTTACTTTCTGCCTCATGGCTTTATTCCCTCATCTCCGTCGTGCCCATCCTGCTTGTTTTGCATCCTCTGGCATCTCCCCGTCTTCTTCCCAGCATCCTCTCTGCTCAGAAATCCTGTCTAGCTCAGATTTTTATATGATCGACCAGAGTGACACGTCTTCACTGTATACAAAAACATTTTTTCCACAACATTTCCCCATTTTTGTATTATTGGGTAAGAATTATATTCACACTATCCAGTTCATTTGTAGTTGGCATATTCAGAGAAAAATACTCTGTTATCTATCTTATCTTGATGAATTTAAAGTTTTATACCTAAACTATTCTCTATCATAACTTGTATTACCATCCTAAAACTATCTTTTTAGAACTAAAAATATCTTAGATAAACAACTTAAGCTTTCATGTTTCTCAACCTATATATTTTTCCTGGTTTCAAGTGTTTGTTTCTTTTTTAGACAGAGTCTCACTAAGTAGCCCTGGTTGGCCTCAAACTCAGAACTCTGACTGCCTTTGGCTCCTAAGGGCTGAGAATAAAGGCTTTCACCACCATGCCCAGCCACCTCAACTGCTGTTAATCCCAACCATGCAACCTCCTTCTGCTTACTACTCTCTGATGATGTTCTTGGGTACAGCTCTTAGAATCATAATCATGTCTTAAACATCCTCTTGTGAAGAAGCAACAGTCACCTTAATGCCACATTCAGTGTCCCTCATCCCATCTAGAGCTCACGTTTGTATGTAACAGTACCTATTGAACCATTTTAAATTCTGATATTCACTGTGAATCTCTCCTGCCTTTCCTCTCTCTCTGAAGATGTGTTTTCCTCCCTCGCATCTTCTAGCTCTCCTTCTATGGAGCAGTTCCCTTAACTTCTGGCATTGACTGAAGTCTGTTCTATTCTGCGCCTTACTGCTACCTTACCCATTTACAGTAACCTCTGTCCTCAGACAATCCCAGCTCTATTGCCAGCTCTAATAATATTCCAGCTTCTTTTTCTGACAACCCTCCTTGGATGAACTTCCAGCCCAAACTTTAGCATACCCAACCCAAACTCAAATGTTTGCACCCATTTGACTCCACATCGGACCGTATAGGGATTTTGGAAGGAAAAGCTCAGGATAACTATGACTATGACTTCCAGAGAAAAGAGAGAAGCCAAGCATCTTGTAACACCACAAAGAAAATCAAGTTCTCTTGCAAAAAAATTACTGACTTTAATTCAAATAATTTTTGACAAGTTCTCATGTCTTGCCCAGATGTTATCCAAGAATATGCTTATTTTTATGATTAGCTTTTCTTCCTTTTAAAAAATAAGATTTTTTATTTTATGTATATGAGTGTTTTGCCTGCCTGTGTCTGTGCACTACATGCTTGCAGTGCCTACAGAGACCAGAAGAGGGCAAAAGGTCCCCTGAAACTGAAGTTAAAGATTGTTATGTGCAGCTATGTAGGTACTCGGACCTGAGCATGGGTCCTCTGCAAGAGCAGCAAGTGCTCCTAACTGCCAAGCATTTCTCCAAACCCTCTCTTTGACTCTTAGAGGAAAACCAAACCTAGAAGTTGGGCCTTTGACCGCCCAAGTTACACTGCTTCCCTTGATTTTGTGATTTTTTTTTAAACAGAAAGTAGAGTCTCTTTAATAACGCTTGTCGGTACTTGTGTGTGATGTCGGTACTTGTGTGTGATGTCGGTACTTGTGTGTGATGTCGGTACTTGTGTGTGATGTCAGTACTTGTGTGTGATGTCAGTACTTGTGTGTGATGTCAGTACTTGTGTGTGATGTCAGTACTGAAAGGAGATAGACAATGAGTATATGAGTGAGACACCTAACATAACAATTGCCCCAGATTCCAGAAACTGCAGATTCTAAATTCAAAATATGATACGGAATGACCATGGTAGAGTATTCAATCGACTTTCAAACTGCCCTCTGAAATTTCACAAGCCAGGCCTCCATGGTCTGCCATAGCCACAGCATTAGCTTCCAAATTCCCACGTCAGCTCAGTGCGTTCTGAGCATCAGTGACTTTTCCAGCCCAATGCCCCAAAATCTTCCACTTTCCTACCATAAAATCATCAAAGGGATAGAAGCTACGTGATTATATTCATCCCAGCAATACCCCATTCTTAGTATCAAGATTGCTATTAGTCAGGGTTCTCTAGAGAAGCAGAATAGTGGCCAATGTCACCTCAGACCCCAGGAGTTGTTCAGTCCTTGAAGCTGAACGCCTCAACAGTCCCAATCTGGTGCCCAAAACTTGGACAGTTCTGCAGAGCTGTTAGTCAAGGATAGAAGCCTAGAACCCCCAGCTCCAGTATCGGGGCAGCAAGCAGCAGCAACAGGGCAAGTCAACTCACCAGCAATAGGCAAGGTCACATGAGCGAAAGCTCAATAATCTTCCTCCTGCTGAGCCCCTTTTTATCTTGGCTGCAACTGGAAGGTGCTGCCCACCCTCGGGGTGGGTCTTGCTACATTAATCATGGCTTTCAAGACAATTCTTCAGTTGAGAGTTTGCATGCAGATTCTAATTTGTGGCAAGTTGACATTAAAACCCCCCATCATCAGCAATGATGGATGCACTGAGCTGAGGCCAGTCCTGTGGGAATACCATGCCAGATTCTCAGATGGGAAATGGAGATTGAGAAAATGTTTCACTTTAATGGTGTTGGGCTATCATGTTTGTATATGTGTGATAATTGATTGGTCTTTGGGAATTTTAATAGAAGCTTGGGGAGAAATGTGCTGCACCATATTATATATGTTTCCCTTAGTATTACTCTATTTAAAGTCCTCTAATATTATTTTAAGGTTTTCGTCAGATTTTTCATAATCCACTCAATAACCTTTTGGTGAATATAGGAACTAGCAGATTAAGTGAAAAATATATTTTGTACGAATCTGATAAACCTAAATAAATCTGTCTTTTCTACCAAAAATAAAAAATAAAAAAATAAAAACCCCATCATATATAGAATACAAAAGTTAAGACCAAATGGACAAAAAAAAAATGAATAAAAGTGCAAACATTATAAAACATTCATAAGAAAACATGTCTTTCTGACCTTAAATTTAGCCCTTGATGCGTAAATGTCTCTAGAATTACAAACACAAAGGAAAAAATAGATTAAGTGACTTAATCTACAATTAAAAGATTTAGTATACCAATGAACAGTGCAAAAACCATGAGAAGCTGCCCTTTGCTATTTCCCTCCCCTCCCCTCCCTTTTCGTTTCTGGCTCTCCTGCCTTCTCTGCTAAGGAAGGCTGTTGGGCAGGGGGCAGGGGGAGGGGGAATATTGGCGTTCCCAGGGACACAAGCCGAAGCACCACTTCCGGAAAGTTCAGGAGCCCTGAAAAGGAAGAAATAAGAAGGCAGGAAGAAGAGAGAGAAAGAGGGTAGAATGGAAGCGTCTCACTTCAGTTCTAACCCGTACTTCTGGCCTTCTATCCCCACAGTCTCAGGGCAGATTGAAAACACAATGTTCACCAACAAGATGAAGGATCAGCTATTGCCAGAAAAGGGCTGTGGACTGGCGCCACCTCACTCAGGGCTTTCTGAAATGGATGACCCTTATGTCCTTGCCCCTGATGACGACGACGATGACTATCAGAAAGACGGCAAGACCTGCTGGTGCCGGATGCGCTCACTGACCTTCTAGTCAAAGCCGGAGATGCAGAACTACTCCAAGTCACACACGGAGACCAAGCCCCAAAAGTCCCCACGCTGCTCCAAGACCTTCACCAGTAGCTCCTACCTGGCCCAGCATATCCGTGTCCACTCCAGGTCCAAGCCCTATAGGTGTAACTCCTGTGAGAACTCCTTCCGCCGCTTCTCCCATCTGCAGCAGCACATCCAAATCCACACCGGTGGTAGGCCATACAAATGTGCCTGCCCGAACTGTGAGAAGGCGTTTACACAACCCTCCAGTCCGCAGTCTCACAGACGGCAGCACAACAAAGAGAAACCCTCCAGGTGCTGCAATTGTCACAGAACATACCCAGATGCAGCCTCATTAGAGGGCCCCTTATCTACACAGACGGTGAAGCACGCCAAGGTGTATACTTGCACAATCTGTAGTGGGGCTTACACATCGGAAACGTACCTTATGAAGCATACGTACAAACATAAGCCTCCTGATCTTCAGCAACACGGGAAAGCAGAGGCGGCAGCAGCAGCAGTGGCCCAGGCCCAGGCTCAGGCTCAGGATCTGCTCTGGCCTCACATCTTGTCCAATGTAGGTGCTCACCTGTCTCTCTTCTCGTCCTCAAAGTTGGGGCTGATAGAAGGCTATCGGCTGGTCCTCCCAGATAACAGAGAGGGAAGTTCTAAATGCAACCAACCTTCCATTCTACGCTTACCTGTAAAAGAACAGTCTCTGCATGTGGCCTGAGCCCTATGAGCCCTTTTCTTTCCCTTGCATGGTCTCACTTCATGTTGGGTGGTGATTGTACCTTTTTAATTGTAAGGAGGACAGTAGCCAATACATGGTCGCCAAGTGCCAGAGATTCTCCAAGTGACCAAGGGTAGTTATAAGAGGGTGGGTTATGATTTTTCCTTGCAGACTCCTTCCTTCTCTGCCAACCAAGGGCCTATATACCTTGCTTCACCACACCAGTCTAAGAAGCTATGGGAACTGTGTTCTCTGCAAAACCCCAGCCAGGGTATTGCAGAGAAGGGAGAAGTCAGGGCACATACAAGAACTGAACTTACCAAGGTCAGATGTCTGACATGGATCGACCTACATATTGATAGATAGATAGATAGATAGATAGATAGATAGATAGATGGATGGATGGATGGATGGATGGATGGATGGATGGATGGATGGATCTATAGATAGATAGATGTGTGTATATATGTGTGTGTGTATGTATGTATGTATATGTGTATGTATGTATGTATATATACCTGCTCAGCACGGCTGTATGTGTTGCAACCATTTCTGTATTTATAAATACATTATCTCTGAGGAAAAAAAACATGAAAAGACAATACACGAAATGGTAGAGAAAATCATAAATTATATATCTGGCATGAGTCTGGTATCTAAAATATATAATATAATGAACAGTTACAACTCAACAACAGCAAACCACAATATAATTACAAAAAAATCAATAAAATTGAATTGGCAGTTGTTCACAAAATGACCGAAAATATTGTTTACCTGTTAAGTATACCACACTTCACACATTCCCAGATAACTATAATTGTTCAGTTGATTTTGTTCTGTTTTATGCTAAGGGTGCAAACAGGAGGTTCACAGACAGACAGATAAATGCATATTTGTAGTTTCATAGACCAGTAACATTTCAAAAACCAAAATAGGGGCAAGTCTGAGGATAGTTCTTAGTTTTCCAAATTAGAGCATTAAAACAATCTGCACATTCTGCTATGACTATCTATCTCTATTTCATATGAAAATGAGGATGACATCCCAAATTAATGACAAGGACATGAAACAGGAACAAGAAGTCCAACCTCAGCTGTGTAGAACAGGAGCTACAGAGAGAAGGAACTCTGGGTGGGCTGGCAGTTTTCTCCAGGTACCCAAAAGGTCTAGCCTAACCTAACCTGTTCCAACTTCTTAAAGATCGTTGGCTGACAGAGATTCCTCATCACCAGTGCATAGTCGAGCACTAATTGTTTGACCTTGTGATCTTGCGTCTAACTGAGAGTCTGCTGGGCTACTGCTGCCCAGGATCTGGAGTAGCTATTGCATATTGCTAACCAGCAAGATCAGAAAATCAAACTACAGCTCCTAAAATGCAATTTTTAGGCAATCCATACCACATTCACACCAAAGCCTAAAACTGTCACATGTGTAAATTCCTTTTCTTCTCTATTATACTCAGCCTACAGCTCATTTTGCCTGCATTATAGATCACTCACTGGCTTGTAAGTTTAGATGGTAACGGCCAAATCATAGTATAATTGTCACAGTGAACATAATGTAAACAGGAAGGACATATTGATAAAATTTAGTTCATACTCTTCAACAATAACATCCCCCTGCTAAAAATCCAGTCCCTATGATTGAGATGTTTCCCAATATTTAGAGCTAGACAGGAAAATAATCCTTGGATTGGTAAGCTACTGACTGGAGGACCACACTCAATCAGGAAATTTTATCACAATGCTGTAGTAACATCTCTCAGATTGAAAGGGAAGAGGAGAATTGAGCTCACAATTTAGTCTACAGAATCAGAGTGTCCCCTACAACCCTTGGTACTAGAAGACCTCTGTTATCCAGACTCAGTACTGATAGGATCATTAGAAATCTTATGGTTGCTGCTTCATCAGGGAGGCAGGACTGAACGTGTGTGTGTGTGTGTGTGTGTGTGTGTGTGTGTGTGTGTGTGTGTGTCAGGGTCAATGACATATGCCCATTATCACCATGTCATGGTGTCTGGTTACATCCTGAACTAGTGCCTGTCCCAAGGTAGCTGTGAATATCTGTGGAATAATAATGAATATGACAACCCTTGGCCAAAACTTCAAATTTCAAATACCTTATACACTGGAAGTGTGGCTAAAAACATCAGCTTCCATCCTTTTGTAAAGCCTACAAATGTCCCTCGAATGCCACCCTTGATGAATCTTCTATCCAGACACTGCTGTTGCCAATTATTGCAGGAACACTGCCCATCAGAAAGGCAGATGGCCTTTTGTAAATTTGTGCATAGAAGGGGCAAATGTTTCCATGCCACTAGGGACTGGGGCTTGTCACTATTTCTTCTAACCGGAGTTCGTCTGAGGTAGCTCCTTCTCTTTTGATGTAAAATGCATTGTCTGGGATATTCATTTCCTAAATAATTATTTCACTTCATCTTTAAAAACAGTGTGAGTTTCTTGTTATGATAATAAAAATAACCATGCTACAGTGAGTTTTTTTAAAATATTCACAGTGCAACACAGTCATTATGGGGGGTTCCTCAAAAATCAAAAATAGAATATGGTCCAACCATCAGACTACTAGAGCTAATAATCAAAAGAAATGAGGTCAGTGCACCAAAAGATACCATTTCCTCCCAGTTTGGGTACTTTTTACACTTCTATTAGATTCATTAAATGCATGGGACTTTTTGTTGTTTGGTTGGTTGGTTGTTGTTGGTTTCTCTGTGTAGCTTTGCTGTCTGCCCTGGAAATCACTCTGTAGCCCAGACTGGCCTCAAACTCATAGAGATCTGCCTGCTTCTGCCTCCGAGTGCTGGGAATAAAGGCATGTGTCACCACCACTGGGCTCAATGTGTGTTTTACCTGCATGTATAAATCATTGAGTTGTTGGTGCCCAAGAGGATCAGAAGAGGGTATCCAATCCTGTAGAACCAGAGGTAGGGCTGGTTGTGAAGCACCATATGGATGCTGGAAATTAACCCTCTAAGAACAAGTGCTCTTAACTGCTGAGCCAGCTCTCCAGCCTCCCCCCAAGCCCTCTACATGTTCCTTGTGTTTTTACAGAATCATTCACAAGGCAGGGAGTCCAAAGCTAGAGAATGTCTCTCTCTCTCCCTCTCATACACACAACACACACACACACACACACACACGTACACTAGGGAGGGTATATTCCAGTCTTTCTTCAAAAGAGAAAGAGATTTCCAGTGGTTTTTAACCTGGAATATTATTGCACAGAGAAATGTGCAGCCTCTGTTGACGTGTGGAATCTGAACAAGTCCAAACTCACAGAACTAGGTCGTAAAATGGTGGTGTCTGGGGGCTGGAGGTTGGGGAGATGTTGGTTAAAGAGTACAAAATACAGTTAGCTAAAAAGAACAAGTCCAGTATGGTGACTGCCGTTAAAAAGAATGTGCTGTATTCTTGAAACCACACTGAGTATATTTTTTTTCTAAAATTTATTTCTTCATATGTTTGTGTATATAACTGCTCTATCTTCAGACACACCAGAAGAAGGAATATGATCCCATTACCGATGGTTATGAGTCACCACCAGATGGTTGCTGGGAATTGAACTCAGGATCTCTGGAAGAGCAGTCAAGTGCTTTAACCCCTGAGCCATCTCTCCAGACCCCGGCACTGAGTACATTTTAAGTATTCTCACTGGTGAAAACTGATTAAGTATCAGTAATCATACTAAATTTAGCCATTCCATAAAATATATACAGATTTCAAAATGCCATATTTACTATAAATCTATGCCCCTTTTATTTGTTAATTAAAATTAATTCCTTTTTTAGAAAAAAAGATCACAGTGAATTGGTGGAATGTTTTCTCCCTTGGTCATGAAATGTTACTCTGTAGAAACGCTATGCTTCAAAGAGAATTTTCTGTCTCACTTTCCAGAATAAAGAGAATTGGGGGAGAACCATCAAATACACACATGTCCAAAACCCACATAGGTGTGTGGGTTTTATGCCTGAATATATACCTTTGTGCTGCTTGGGTGCCTAGAGCCCAGGGAAGCCAGAAGAGGGTGTTGGATCTCCTGAAGCTGGGATTAGTGACAATTTTGAGCAACCATGGGATACTGGAAATAGAATCCAGGTCCCCTGAAGAAAGGTCAGGTAGTACTGTCAACCACTAAGCCATCTCTCCAGTCCCTAATCCCAAGGATTTTTTATCTTTGTCTCTCACCTACAGATCTAACCAGACACCCAGCCCTGGGAGTGTTCTACTCCATGAATCGCTGTACTTTACCTGGCTCACACTTCTGTAGTCCAAGCTTAGGTTCTTCTGACCTAGCCCAGGCTGCACCAGCCTTTGGACCTAACCCAGGATTCACCAGCCTTTTGACCTAGCCCAGGCTATACCAGCCTTTTGACCTAGCCCAGGCTATACCAGCCTTTTGACCTAGCCCAGGCTACTCCAGCCTTCTAGAGCATTTCCTGGACGCCGGTCTTCCCTGCTCAGAAGGAGACAGACTCCACTTCATGCTCAAACCTCCTCAGAAGCTCTTTCTTGCCAACTTGAAGGCTACCAGACATCTCAGAGCCGGTATACCCCACAGGGAACCGGACCTGCTCTTCTTGAACCTCATTTCTCAAAATCTGCCCATCTCAGTTCAGTGGGAGGTGTTTTAAAATCAACATGGTCAGCTTGCCACTGTCAGCTTAAGCGTCAAAACCTGCTCTTCCTATAGTGCTCCTATCATTCTGGCTAGTTCACTGGGAGTTTTTATATTTATTATATATAATAACATTATATATTAATATATATAATTATTATATATAATCTATATTATTTTATATTTGGTATATTTCATATTCTCACATTTGACATCCAATACATCAGATCAAAGAATATTTCAGCTATAATATCAAAATAAAAGTCTAGAAGCAACCACTTCCACTACCACTTGGCTCTCTTCAATCCTTTATCTCAGTCCTTGCCATTTTTTTTTCATGGTGTCACCATCTTCCATTTTTTTCT